AGTTTTATAATATTAAAGTTTTATAAAATTAAAGTTTTATCAAATTAAAGTTTTATAATATTAAAGTTTTATAAAATTAAAATTGTATAATATTAAAGTTTTATAAAATTAAAGTATTGCAAAATTAAAGTTAAAGTTAGGTACAGAAAATAAAAAGATACGTCGATTGGTGTACAAAAAAAAAAAAAAAAATAAGGTTCTATTTAAAAAAGTTAGAATTTAAAAGGTAATTCCATTTGTAGATCAAAGCTGGACGCTTTCTACATAGTCCTGGGAGAAAACCATATAATTTTATCGACCAAATTACCAAATATTTTTCGAAATAAATAAAAAAACAAGTGAATCAAAATCCACAGTGATGAAGTTATTCGGTTTCCTCGTGGGACACCCTGTATATGTATTTCACATACAGTCGCTTTAGCGTTCGAACACTAAACTTCCGACGTTCGAAAATTTCATCTTGAAGATTAAAGCCTCCTTTTTACGACGACTCCCTAAAACTTGATATATAACTTTTTATTCATCGTTTTTATTCGACTTTGATCAATTTTCGGGAACTCGTTACGTTCGTTTCCGCCTGATATTCAAACTTCAACAAATTGGCGAAAATAATTTGTACACCAAATTTCGGGGACTGTTGTCAAAGGGGAGACTCAGTAACGAAAATATTTTCGAGAAGAAAAACGTCTCTAGAATAAAGTGAATGGTGCATTTCGAAAGTGGAAGGTCCAAGCTTTAAAATAAATTATTGTACAATTTTGTTGAAATATTTAGTGCCCGAATATCAACGTGAGCAACTGTATGTTGAACGCCTGTCAAAAGTTTCATGGTAACTTGTTTAACAGAAACTTCAGGGTAAGAAGTTTAAATATACTTGAGTCGTGTCTAACCAAGATGAGTATGTTCGTGAAATATGCATAATAGAGTTAAAATTTGCAACAGAAATTAATCATTCTCTACTATACATTTCGTAATCAATTATAACAGTAAATTCTGTTATATTTTGTATATCACGGAAATTTTTGCTTCGTTAATGGAAAAGGTTTTACACAACGATTTTTACATAACGAAGTTATTACATTGCGAAGATTTTTACATTGCGAATTTTATACGCAAAAGATTCATGTATGTAATTATTTCGTTACAACCGAAGCATTGAAGCGTAAAATTGGTGTCAGGGAAAGGCGGAAAAATGCAGGAAAGATGAAAGTTTATAACATAATAAAGGACTGAAGCTTTTATTCGCGTATTTTATGGAAAATCATGTAAATTTATAAAACTTTTATTATAAATTAGAAATTTATTTAATTTAAATTGGAAATAAAAGTTATTTTCATATCAGTCCTGCTCCGAAGTTTCTGATAATTTTAATATATTAGCTGATATTTAATATACTACTATATTAAATTTTAAATTTAATATATTAGTTCAATATAACGCTATGAAACTTACGTTAGGTTGTCGCAGATGAAATTATTTATAATTATAATTATTTATAGTTAAATTAATGTAAGTTAATAGAAACTTCGACATTCATATAATTTTCTTGAAAGTAATGTTCAATTTGCCAGGTTCGATACATCTCGATACTGTCGATAATTATTACAAGTTAAAAAATCTTTTACGTTTCTGTCTTGATGTCAGTGATTGGTACAAATTATGTTATCGATTCCAAAGAAATTCGAATTCTTTACGTCACAATTACAGTAACAAACATTCGCCTAAAGAGAAGATTGAAAAGAAAATCACGAATCAAAACAACGCTCAAGTATATAAAATTTCAAACAACTTTATATGACTACAAACTCGACCATCTTTCAGTGTAATTTTGAACAAACGAGACAGCCCCTTTAAATACACACCGTAACACACCGTTTGTTTATTCGAGGAATACCACGAACAAAGAAAAAAATGCCAGAGAGAAGACGAACACATTTCGTATTCCAAGCGTTGTAAAACGTTGAAGTCGTTAGCGCAGTTAATAAAGCGAAAACCACATTGTCGCGTCTTTTAAAAGTTCCGTCGTAAAAACAGCTTTTCATTTTGTTTCCACATCCGCGTTGCTGATTATGACAAAGAAGTGGATCGGGCTGGAAAGTTTCAACTGTCGCGCGCGGCTGTCGAAACGACAGAACTCCGTTTGTAAACAGGCTTCCCTTCAATGAAAATGTTGCCGACGATAATAAACTTTCACGCGGGTTTCCAATAACGCGCGGCTCGCGATTTCAAAAGAAACGAAATTCATACAGCACGGCATATATACTCTGCCGTGTCCAAACTATAATGTGCGAGACAAAAGTGTCTCGATGAGATCGATGGAATTTTCGGATCTGCGGGGCAATCATTTTTTTCCTTTCGATATCGGAGACAGAGATCGAGAAAACAGTCGGCTTGCTCTCGTATATTTAACCGCTTGCGCTGGCAACTGATTGCGGACCGTAACGAGCGACCAAACCGTATACAACAATTCGTCGCTTTCTTTTTGAACTCGTCGATACGGTATCGCTGGATCGAAATGATTGAAAAGTAATAAATTTATTAATTGTTTTGCCTGAGTTACACTTAAAATATACTTAAATATACTTAAAAATTTTGGGACAAAAAATTCTCGACGTGAATTCCAGCGCAAGGGGTTAAAAGTAAATATAAAGAATTAGAATTTAAAAATATATTGGAATATAAAAATGAAAATATAAAATATATTACGATTTAAAAATATATACAACGATAATATATTAAATAAGAAAATAAGAATATAAAATATATTGGAGTTTAAAAATATATACAACGATAATATATTAAATAAGAAAATAAGAATATAAAATATATTACGATTTAAAAATATATACAACGATAATATATTAAATAAGAAAACAAGAATATAAAATATATTGGAGTTTAAAAATATATACAACGATAATATATTAAATAAGAAAATAAGAATATAAAATATATTGGAGTTTAAAAATATATACAACGATAATATATTAAATAAGAAAATAAGAATATAAAATATATTGGAGTTTAAAAATATACACAACGATAATATATTAAATAGGAAAATAAGAATATAAAATATATTAGAGTTTAAAAATATACACAACGATGAAGTTTAAAAGTTCATTTAAGATTTCACTTAAAAAAAAAAAAAGGCACGAATCTAAGTTAATTCTTGCATCTAAGTTAATTGCAACGGTACAATTGTAAAGTTGTTCGTTTAATATAATTTCTTTTTATTGATATTTTTCGTTGATATAATTCTTTTTCATTAATCTCTATCCATAATAATAATGATAATTATGACTGTTTATCGGGCCAATGTAATTACGAGTTTCTCAATTAATTCTCCGAATTTAGATGGTGTACATACATGACAAACATGACAATCCCGATGAATCCTCAATCTAATCATTCAAAATGTTCAATTAGTTATCCAAATGTTTGCACAATTAGTTGTGACTGTTTATCGAACGAAATTCCGATATGATTATAGATTTTTCAAATTGACTCTCTCCAACCCGATGATAAATTAATTTGAAAAATTCACAATGGATAAACATAATGATTGAACCTGTTTTTAACCAGTTTGTTCGAAACGTTCCATAGATGATCAACGTAATCGTATATTTGCATAATTCTGTATTTATACAATATTAATTATGTACATTGATCATGTTTATACGATATTGTTTATCGGAAGAAATTCCAACATAATAGTCATCTGACTCTCAAATCTAATAGTTGATATATTAGAAATAAAACCTAATAAACCCAACAGATAATAACAGTAATTATCAGAAGAATCATAATCATAAAACTAAATAATCAAATTAATTTAAGGAACCTATAATTAACAAATACAACGACGAATCAACCCTTAACCAAATGCCACTCAAAAATGTTCCATATAATTATAATTGTTTATCAAAAGAAGAATTCTTTAATTAATTAACTCTTCAATCTAACTCAATTAATTTGAAGAATCAATCAACAAACACAACGAATCTAGCCTTAATGAAATTATCCAAATGTTCCACAAGTGAATATGTATAATATATTTGCACCATAATAATGTACATGTAATGACCAGTTACGACTATTTATCAAAAGAAATTTTAATACGATCACAAATCTCTTAGCTAATTCTCTAACCTAGCAATCAATTAAGTTAAACGATTCATAATTAACCCGGCAGAACACACGTGAACTTTTGAAACGGAAGTATTCACGTGTGATGTTTATCAATATTTATTGACCATTGAACGTACAAATATCTATATGTTTTATGCACCTCTACTAAAATAACAGCAATATATACGAACATTGATTTAATAATTATGCAGAAAAGGGTAGTCATCGCCGATTTCAATGGGGGTTGAAATATGTTGTCGAAGAGCATGATTCAAACTGAACAACTTTTTCCTATACATAGATATTCTTGTATACGCCGCTTGGTTTTAATTTTCGAGATATTTACAAGAAACTGTCGATATCTTTATATATATATATATATAAATTCTGCTTATAACATTGCATGATTATAAATATGGTACGCCAACATTTCATTTTTTACATCTCAGACAGAGGAACTCAACTTCTAATTCAACAGAAACTGCCAAACTCGAACCAACTCGAACAGTCAAAATAGTGGCGAGCTTTTTCCAAAAATTAGTATTGGTATATTAATTTTAGAAAGATACACCTTGCTAATCTTCATCTGTTTATTTCTATTTATTTATCATAGTAGATTTATTAATCGCGATTTTCTTGATTTTTCTTCAGCTCTAACTTCACACGTATGTCGAAACAGTTTTCACGACTGCAATGTTCCTTTTTCGCCAATTTTCCCCCGTCGTGTGAATGTCAAAACTAAATCTCGCGAAAGTTTGCAAAACGTTAGAGATTGATAGAATCATATAAAGTTCAACGGTGATAGTGCCGATAGTGGAGTTTTTCTTTTTAGAAAACTTCATCGACGATATTTAAAACCCCATCGTCGTATGCTCTTCTCTGCATATTCACCAATTTTCATTTCAAAAGATCGAGGTGAAGATTTTCAATTTGCAATTGAACACATTATTACCGGATCCCCGTTCGACGTGCGTGTATACTGCCGGGTTAACGGTTAACGATCGATCCACGAGTACTAACCGAAAAACTATATCGAAAATACTTCGCAGGTGATTAGCATAGTCTCGGTTCTGTTCATCTGTATCTCGATCTTGTCATTCTGCCTGAAGACGCACCCGGACATGCGGGTGCCGGTGATCGTGAACCGATCGGTGAACACGGGCAACGGTAGCTCCTGGGCGGTGGACAAGACGCACACGAATGCCCACGACTTCTTTTTCTACATCGAGTGCGTGTGCAACGCTTGGTTCACCATCGAGTTCCTCATACGGATCACCGCTAGCCCGAACCGTTGCGTGTTCATCAAGAGTTCGGTGAACCTGATCGACATGGTCGCCACGTTGAGCTTCTACCTGGACCTGGCGTTGCAACGTTTCGCCTCCCACCTGGAGAACGCCGACATCCTCGAGTTCTTGAGCATCATACGTATCATGAGACTGTTCAAGCTGACCCGTCACTCGTCCGGCCTCAAGATCCTCATCCAAACGTTCCGCGCCTCCGCCAAGGAGCTCACGCTGCTGGTCTTCTTCCTCGTCCTTGGCATCGTGATATTCGCCAGCCTGGTCTACTACGCGGAGCGTACGCAGTACAATCCGAAGAACGACTTCAAGAGCATACCGTTGGGCCTTTGGTGGGCACTGGTCACGATGACCACCGTCGGCTACGGTGACATGGTGCCGAAGACCTACGTGGGGATGTTCGTCGGCGCGTTGTGCGCCCTCGCCGGTGTCCTCACGATCGCCCTGCCGGTGCCCGTGATCGTCAGCAACTTTGCGATGTATTACAGTCACACGCAGGCGCGAGCCAAGCTACCGAAGAAGAGACGCCGCGTATTACCGGTCGAGCAGCCGAGGGTGCGAACGCTGGGCGCGCCGTTGGGCGCGGCCGGGGTCGCTGGCACCATGGGACCGCCGGGCTGCACCCAGCAGCACATGCAGTCGGGCGGGCCGACATCCGGGGCCGGTGGCCTGGCCCCTGGTCTTGGACAGACGCCCGGCGTCGGCTGCGCCGGCGGCATCGGCCCTCAAAACAGACGGATGAACGCCATCAAGACCAATCATCCCAAGGATGTTTCGTTCGCCACGAAAACAGGTAAGTTCTCCAGGCTTGCTCTCGTCTCGCCTGCCTTTTCCCTTTTCATATATCAAGTTTCCATTATTCGTTGGTACGTTGGAAACTCCCCTCTCCTCTCCTTTTTTTATTGATTTATACTTGTCGAGGTTCTTTCATTGTCAACGGTGATTACAGTCGCCTGTCAGTGGATAGTTAAATTTTGTAAATTTTTCAGTAAAAAAGGTGAATGATTTTACTCGTCGAGGTGCTTTCGTTGTTGTATCGAACCCTTTCGAATCAACCTTACCCATTGGCGATCATTATCGAACAAGCAATTTTGAGTCACCTGTCGTTGGATAATAATAAATTTTGTGAAAGTAAAGAAAGTAAATGATTTTACTTGTCGAGCTTCTTTCGTTATCGTGTCAACGGTGATTAGTTTAACTGTCATCGCCGAGCGTTAGTGATTTCAATCATCTATCATTGAATAATTAAATTTTTGTATTTATTGTATCCACGATAATTATAATCGGTCGATATTAGAGGTCATCGTCGAGTACTGATGGTGACATTGGTCACTTGTCATTTTGGACAATTAAATTCTGCTTGAAGAAAAAGCAAGTAATCTGCACGACGTGAATAAGTGTGCATTCACGACTTTACAACAAAAATTTTGAAAAGATCAGGTCTTATTATTAGATTGCGAATTTTTATGCATTTCTGGGAAATTCATACAGTAGGATTCAATATCTGCAGATCTAGGATCGCGATTAATTTTCATTTTATAGGAAAATAGTGGAAAATAGGAAAATATAAATAATCACGAATTTAAAAGTGGGAAAAATTGGGATCATTATAAATAAATAAATAAGCTGTTATAATAAAATGATAATTTTAAGCAAAAAGTATTTGGGAACAATATCGGGAATGTAATTGATACATAAATGTAAGGCCAAAGTTACTATATGTCTGATTATAAAAATTTTCAAAATAAGTATTATCAATTGACGTTAATATTATTGTACGTTAATTGTCAGTATTATGAATATTATCAATTTGCAAAATTAGCTTAGTTTTAAGCTTTTGACATAATAGACAAAAACTACTGTATCAGATAAATTTTATGACAATATTAAAAATATGGTCATAAAATCCTCCTAATTTCGCCAAAGTTTATCTACATATCAGACAAAACTCATTTTGGCTTGACACCAAAGCCAAATGTTATAGGCAAAATTACATCGATTGGCACCAAAACAAAATAATGCATCATTTATGTAGTAACTTATTTTTTTATAATTTTCTATCTCCATGTTTTCATTAATAAACGATGTAACCTCGTGCCAAGAAATTGCATGTTAATTTACATAGGATGATCTAATTAAATATATCCGTCGTTTTTGGAGATGTAAGAAAACTTTATGAACATAAGTCGTTTAAATTTTTAACGTGGTGATAATAATTTTTTTTTTTTAACAACTATTAGGCTTTGAAGATTTCAGGGTCACCTCTTTTAAACGAAACCATATGTTTCTTAATCTATCCAAAATGATTATTACAAAGTATGTCGAAAAATTATTAATTCAGGAGACATTTTGCAACTCTAATTTTGCAAAATTTATCATACGATAAGAAAAGACAGTTATTTTTCATACAGTAGGCTATGAAATAAAAATTAGAACTGAGTCATATACTGATTAATAGACAAAAAGATATATGAGAAAGTTCTCCATTTAGAAAAATGGATCTGACCTCGAGAAAAAAATTATTACTACCACATTACAACCTTTTCTATACTGAACAATTTTTCTGAATAAAGTTTTTCCATCTCTCCAAATACAATGGAGAAATTCAAGTTCTAATTCTTCTTGAACCACCCTGTGTGTGAAGAAAATAGTCCAATTCAAGAAACTTATTTCAAATTATAAGAAAAAATAACGTTTATAATCGTGATCATTTTCTACGCGCCAACGACAATCTATTTCAACGTTTTTTCGATTAGTTTAGGAGTATTATAGAGTCTTGAAACACATTTGTGCAACAATTTCCACGAATGTATGATAAACTAATCAAATTATACGTATACAAAATTACAATAAAAGAAGAGCCATTCGCGGATTTCGATATCCTACTGTGTTACGATAGTCAATGCTTGAAACAAATTTCTCATTTCCCCAGTTACGTTCGCAGAGATATAAAAATGCATAAAAAGTCCGTGGTCTGTTCGTCGCGTTGCTAAAAATAAAAATTTATTTAAGCAGTAGTTTAAAATGGCGGATAAAGCAACAAGTGCTTCTGAGCGTGGAATAGGGTATTTTATCTCTATAAAAGCAGAATCCTCGCAACAATCCAATACGAAGAACGCTACAACGCTATTGTAGTAGTCAACTATTGACGGATTTCAAAGCCAGTATCGTAGCATTTCCATCATCCACTCGTTTTCTCCTCGTATCTGGTCCCTTACGCTTTCATAGGGTGGAAATAGTATTGTTGGCACAAGGGACGAATAGAATTCGAATATAAATCAAAGTTTATCCTTGGTTAATAAGTAATTTTTTTCTTGTTTTCTCCAATTTTTTTTTTTTTTTTTTTTGTCACAATTTTGTTTGCATATCTATCGGTTTGCATATCAACAGCGATTTCTTGCGTTCGATCAAAATACAGTTCTTCGTCGGAATAAAGTGAACATTCGTTTTGTTAAACTATCGTTTTCTATAAAGAAACAAAAAACAGTACGAAAGGTACTTTCTACACATTTAATTTCTGAATTCTATTTAAATTTTTAATGATAAATTTCAAGTAACATTCCTTAAATCGTAAACTTTCTTCATTAATTGATGGATCTGCGAGACAATTGGTGGACAACGAGCGTTATCTTCTTGTACTATTTAATAATTTTGAAAGTCGAGCAATTCTGCGTTTCGAACTTTCGTATTTCTATAAAAGTAAATCAGTAATGTATCAGCATAGGTTCATTTCATCCTAATATTACATACAGTGGCGGACGAAAGGAAGTTTAAAATAATTGGTAAGAAACTTACAAGATACTGTAAGAAACTTATAAGAAACTATAAGAAATAACTTCCAAGAAACTATATTAGATTTTTAACCTGAAAAATAAAACGATAATTTATCGTGATATTATAGATATTCGTTTCCTTGAAATTTCAAATTTCGTAAAATTATAAAATCTACGTAGAAAGATATAACGATGGAAAAATATTGAGCGAATCTTAGCTGTGACATTAAAATTGAAACGCAAAATTTTATAATGGAAATTACAGCGGAAAAGAAAAGAATAGCAGATGAAAGTATACTTTTCTAATGTAATGAATACAATATTTAATAGTGTTCTTGTTGTAAGCTTCCTTTTATTCATCAACTGTTAATAGATAAAGTTGTTATAGACAAGTTGTAGCAGCTTTTTTTTTTTTAGAAAAAAATATTTCGAGAAGCATACGATTACGATTTATATCAGACTGATGGGTATCAAATGTCGCTTTATACGATCAAACTTTTATCAATTTCACATACTCGGTATACTATTCTAACAACTATTTCATTTTAGCACCTCAGTTTCGTAAGAATTACCATTTTTTGAATTTAAAAGATCTTGCAAATTCTTCATTTGTAAATTTGTAAATTAATTAAAACATTGCTTAGTCTGAACATTTGACTTTTTTTAAATGGTTTTATACGAAAGAATCGCACGAATATTCTGGTTATGGATACTATAATCGTAAGATTTCAATTTTGAATTTGTTGAAACGATTTATAATACATTTCTGCTTTTTTAATATATCACGTTAATATTAGTTAATGATATATTATATTAAATATTATATCAAATATTATATTAAATATTACAACATTTGATACTTGATATATTAATTATATATCAATATATTGTATTAAATTCAAATTTAGTTTATTGTATTTAATATATTTATAGGTAGTTTTAATAAACTAAAATCACGCTTCGAGGAAGACATTTCATATGCATCAATCTAATATATTTAATTTATCTTCAGGTCAACAATGGCGGACAGAAAGTAAATTCACAATGATGACATTTGTTATTAATATTATATTATAATATATTAATAAATTATATTATAATAAATTACAAATATTATTAATATTAATGGATATTATATTTATTAATATTATATTAATAAATTATATTATAATAAATTACAAATATTATTAATATTAATAGATAATATAATATTAATACATATTATATTACAATAAAATAAATATTACTTATGTCACTCAGATGTACGTGTGCATGTATGTACAGTATCGTTCAAAATTCTCTTTCGTCCGCCACTGAACGTCAACGCGTCAATGTCTCTCCCTCCCAATTATTCATAAAACCACCATCAAAATCCACCCCGACGAGCCTCTTCGAAGCCACCTAATTATGCATCCAGCCTTGCCCGCGAAGTCTCAAACCACCAGCGCTCACAATGTTCTCACAAATCTTCGCCAAACCTACTACGTCTTTTACCTCGAAGTTTCTTATCTCGAGGTAAAAGTAACTTGTCTCTCTCTCTCTCTCTCTCTCTCTCTCTCTGTTTCTCTCAAAAAGCGTGTGTGTCCAGCAATTGTCATGCACAAAGGCTGCCGGTGACGTGCAAAAGAAACGAGTACAAAAGAATGGTAAGAGAGAGAGAGAGAGAGAGAGAAAGAGAACGAGTGGAAGCAAAAAGAAAAGAACCGAGGGGTTAAACAGCGGTCTTAGCGCAAGAACGCAAATTTAGCTGTAATTGTCGCCCGAGCGGAAAAGTCTGTAGTGTCTTTGTTTTCCTGTTCTTCTTGTACGGTGGGTTCCAGAGGAGGACCGGAGGAACTCTAACCTGCGGACCAACGGGACCAAGACAGCCGGAGGTTTGGGTTAAAAAAAGAGAAAAAAAAGAAAAAAAAAAAAAAAGCTGGAACCAACGCTCTCCACCACACTGCCGAGGCGCGCTCGACCGGGGGTAGGTGGCCACCCTGGTGACGATCCAGCGGAGTCGAAACGAAAGGGAGGAAAAAGAAGAAAGAAGAAAGAAGAAGAAGAAGAAGAAGAAAGAAGGGCGAGAGAGGGAGAGAAAGAAGAGTGCCGTGGACGAGGATCGGGAGGGGATGGGGCGAAGGAGATTGCCGGAGGAACGAGCTCAAGACGGGTATATCAAGACTGCATGGTCTATAAGGGAATATTAGATCGCTGCGGATGAAATGCGCGGATTTTCACCGCAGCCACTTGCGACGCCTTTTCACTGCGGCCACGCGTGAATTATTACACGCTGCCCCCCCCCCCCCCCCCTTCTTCACGAAAGCGAGACTCTCGACTCCGGAAATTGCGCGTGTCCCTCAGGAGGAAACGAAAAAGGGCGGCTTTGCTTCACGTCACGCAGAGTACTAGAGTTTCGAGTACTTTTTTTTATTTCATAGTGTACGTAGCTTTTATTCGTGCGCTTAGAAACTGTTTTTGGCCGACGCAGGTCAGTGATGACAGGCTCGTAAAGGTGTAATGTGATTACTCCTTGTCGGCCAAATTGTGAGAATAAACGAGTAAAATTGTCCTATCTGATCCGGGGCAAGCAACGATAATAAAATTTGAATTGTGCAACGTTAGACGCGGCAATCAAATTCGAGTTCACGTCGCTTTCGTTGCAATTGTGGGATATGTGTATCTAGAATGAGATATTGACTTTCTGTATCTTATTTCGAAAAGTTAGCAGGAAGGTGCGAAAAACCTAGGACTTCATTTTGCCTTTATACTATAAAGTGTTGTCGAATTCTTCTTTGTGACATTTCTACAAATTTATCTTTATATTTTTTTTTTTTTTTTTATACACTTGTATTATACATTTTGTATACGTAGAAATATAAGTATACTTTTTATATTGTATTTATAACACATAATTTATGAGGTTATATATATTTGAAGTATCGTATTTATATTTATTTTATATTTATAATATTTTTGAAGGAGTATTTTTGGTTTATATATATTTTTCTATCGATTTACCCTATCTAGAATGTGCTCGGAACCAAAGAATGTGTTTAACCAACCCATTGAAGAGGGGAATGTTTCTTTCTAGTCATTTGAGAAGTAGTTTCCTTCAGATGTGAACGATCGTTGGACAGAAAGGGGTGTTTCTGGTGTACCAAGCTGCTTGTTTCGCGTAATAAAGCAACGAGAAAGTTCCTTGTCACGCAGAAACTGCGTAAAGTTGCATGGAACTCGCGACGGCTAGATATTCCCTGCGTTACTGTAGACGATGAAACGTTGCCGAAACGAATGACGAAAGGGAAAAAAACAAGAGTTTCGCCGATACATCCCACGACATTTTTATAAATTTTATATCCCACGTATTACGTACATTTACGCGTACAGTTACGTGGTTGGAACACAAATGCAATTAAATACATCTCAATGAAATTGTACGTATAACTGGTATGAGCAAAAGTTTATACATCGTATTAAAAACATACATTTCAAATTTATATTTTAATGCAACATATTATAATATCACATTCAAATTTTTATTTAAAAAAAAAAAAAAAAAAAAAAAAAAAAAAAAAAAAAATTTTCCAAAATTTTGGAAAAATCCAAAAAAACCCTCCCAAAAAAAAAAAAAAAAAAAAAAAAAAAGAGTGGTTTAAATTGAGTACGGTGTCGAGATATTCGGCAAGCCGAAACTTATTTATTTACTTGGCACTTTAATTATTACAAATGCATTTTTGCAAATGTCAACTACGGAACGTAACTGAAGAAATAAAAAACTAAACAGAAATTTGTTTCGTTTAACAGATATTGTAATAGATATTTTACACGGTCTCATACGTATTCTAAAATAAAGTAAAAACCACAAGGGCTAACAGACACGCCACCCACAGCGATTAAAACTGATTAACTCTGGCCACATCGCCGCAAGAATCCATAATTACTGTTTGACTTCTCGGCCGATTAACCCCCGTAAACGGCGTAATCGATGAGTTCCGAGCTCGTACGCCGTTTCCAGGAAGTAACGTGCACCTTATCGTGCGGCCATCGGGCTAAATGAACGTTTTCGGCCATAACTTTCTGCCATTCTGGAGACCATTAACTCCCAATTACGTTGAAAACCGGGCATCGGAATGCTCGTCGTGAAATCGCGACGCCTGCTCGAGGTGATAATGAGAGATGGCCGTTTCTTCAAAGCCGTGAAAGCCGTGAACAGCAAGCAGCTTGGCGCGACCGGAAGCGTGGTCGCGCTCTAAATCAAAAGCTGCCCCGGGTGGCGGCAATTAATTGGGGGCTTTTTTAATTAAATCACGTCCAACTGCGCCAACCTGCTAACCTTTCGGAAAGCAACGAAAAGGGGGAGGAAGATGTAAACGGGGGTTGGGGGGAGGGGGAATAAAAGACAAAGGAAAGAAGGGGAGGAAAATTCCACGATCAAACGCGGAGAGCGCCTTAACGAACGAGGCTACCGTGCATGCGCGCATAACCGAACGTCCGACATTTTACCCGCAGCAATCTAGCATTATTCAGGGGCTTCTCGCGCGATGCGTCGACACATTCGTTATCGGCATCATTTCCATCAGTTTGCTCCGCTTTCTCGAGCGTCGGCTGAAGCGACTCGAGACTTTCTGAATTTCTTTAACATTTCCCCTGCCGACGAGGAAGTAAGCCGATGCCCGACTTACTTTGCAGCCGAAAGGAATTTGGCTCAGCTTCTCTTCTCGACTCGTCGTTGAAAAAAAGGAAATTTCCTTTTCCCACGCGCGAGATGGATCGTGACACGTCGTTGGAAATTCCTTGCGATTTTTCAGCAACGAGTTGGCTTTCATCGAAAGATTGACAATTAGGTTTAACGCCAGAGTTACGTTTCGTGGCGTGCAGAGTAAGGAACACGTTGTCTCAGAAGCCGACGTGACTGTACAAATACACTGTCTCGTGTGTTCGTTTGTAACGGAGTTTTCGAGAGGGATTTTTTTTTTAAAAAGAACGCGCACCGCTTTACAAGTTTCGCGCAGTTCGTTGCGGAGGATTTGGCAAATGAATGGCTCGCAAATGAATCGAAAATCCCGCGGCTGGTTACCGCAACCTTTCGACGTTGCAACGACCACTAATTTATACCTTCGACGATCATTTCTCACGAAAGGTCAACAAGTTTGCTACGATTCGAGGCGACTATAAATTTGTAGAAATTCACTACGAGGCTGAGAGTCGCCAAACCGTTGGTCGTTATAATATTAAAATAAGGATAAATCCGGATCGAAGTGTCAAGTTTCTCGTTAAAATGGAGAGAGAACACGTGAGGGAGCAAAAAGGAAGAATCACGGGCTCAGTTAGATATAAAATCGTCTCAAATTTTCTTTACCTCTCTCATTTGCAAAATTCTCGTTTTCCAAGTGACGGGAAAGAAAATTTGCGCGAAACGGTAACCAGATGCGGAATTCACGTCAGCGAGAAACGGTAAGGAGAATTTGGAACAAACGTGCATCTTCGTCAGTGAACGTATTAACATTCAGCTGATGTGTCTTTTCCACTTTCTCCTCTTCCCTCCAGTTTTACCCTTTACGCTCTTCATCCTCGCCCATGATTTCTTCACCGAAACTTCTCCCTTCATCCTGATAAATGTGACAGTGTCACTCACGAAACACTGAGAACGCGTCCGGATTAGCTTATAAATTGCGATGGAAATGGAAGAAATGGAAACGAGATGAAAAGAAGAGAGCTTGAGACGGAAGCAAAAAAAGGAACGAAGAAGGGTAAGATAAAGTGTACACGGGCACAGTGTTGGGCATTGTTCGAATAAATATTAGTCAGTGACTATGAATCTCATTCTTTACTCGTTTGTTAATCATTCAAAAGTGAAAGTGTCGATGGCAATTATTTCTGATTTTCATCGTCCATAAAATGATTTTTCATTGACGGCCGTCGTCGATTCGTTTCAGAAAAAGAAATACGCGCTCATCTCTTTGGATTTACATCGTTTGGAACGACGGATAAGTTCGATTTGCACGTTATTGCAAATAACTCGAAGGAAAGGAGACACGTGTTCGTCTCTTTGCGCAATCAGTCCCTCAGATCTGAGAATTTAGAGTGAAACGACAAATAAAAAAGAAAGGGAAATGAAAATTAAGTTACTCGAAGTAAATAAAAAAAAAACTTGCTGAGTTTTTCATTCTGGTTATAATTATTTTATTCTAAAATAATTATTCCAAGTAATCGAGGAAAATAATTATTTTTGAGAACCAGTCGAAAATTTGTTTGAAAATTAATAATTATGTAAATTTCTCAGATAACCCCCCCTCCCCCCCCCCAAAAAAGGGGGAATTGCTCGTTAATTTCCTATTTTCGTTTCGTTGCAAAGTTTCGACTTAATTAAACGTATAGTATATAGTTTCGTTACGAAAAAAGGGAAAGAGAAAATTTCGAACGACGAATAAAGGTGAAGGGTAAATTCGATTTGCACGTTATTTATTCGAAATGACCGGAGCCCAGCACTGGCGCAGGAATATTTATCGGTTTTTGTCAAGTCGGAGACGCGCCGGGCGAAAGCCTCGTGTTCGTCAATAATATGTGAACCGTGGAGCACGGGGTTCGCTGCCAAAAATTCGCGAAAGTATCTGGTAAATGCTGCAGGAGCCGCGTAATTGAGACCGGCGAAGTCTCGAGGAGCTTAAATATTTGCGTTCGGAACGTTCGTAGGAATTTCGTCAAGATTCGACGTCGTGCCGAGAAAAAAGATCCCTCCTCCTCCTTGAATCTTTCGTCGAGATCCTCGTCATAAAACAGAGAATAAAAGACTTAACGCTCTTAATTTCTCGAAACGTACGAAAATATTCGTACGTAAGTACAAACATCACAATGATCGAAACAGACAGATCTATGCAATTTTATCTTTGTGGCCATTCTAACATTGGAG